GTAGATTGTCTTGGCAATGTGGATTGTCTTGGCAAAGGGTGTGAAGGCACTGTGCATGCCCTAAAGCATCCCAGCCAACCATGGAATACAATTCGGTGCATGGGTGAGGTCTGGGGGTGAGTATGAGCTGGTCACCTATCCCTACTTCGGGCACCGCCGGGAGTGTTTCCAGCAAGTAACACTTGCACAGAGAGACAAACCAGAGCATTACAGAGGGTCAGAACCGGGTCTAAGACCCATATGGTTCGATAGTCGCAACCGACCGGAGCTCTATTAACCGTGGATGGTTGTAGAAAGGTCACTGTTTCCGAATACGGTGTCCTCCACCTTGTTTCATGCTGTCAACCAACAGCAAACCAGAGCATTGCAGCAACCTGCTATTCAGGCTATAGGCTATCTAGTATCTATTTATACTATTATAGTCAGCTTACTGTCAAGAAGGTTGGTGTTGGGGTGCTTGTCGGAGCTTCGGCTGCGATACTCGGGATGGTTGTGAGTCCAGTTAATGCGTGATTTCAGCAGAGGGTATTCTCCTGCAGTACCGTCACAGTCACAGCAGGAACAAAGAGATACAATGAATACATAATATGGTTCGTGTCAGAATCAGCCAGACCGACGTTTCCGCATCTGCAGGAACGTCATCACCGTCGATGATCAAGGTGCAATGCAGCTCCTCAAGGATAAAGGTGCAATGCAGCTCCTCAGGGATCAAGGTGCAATGCAGCTCCTCAGGGATCAAGGTGCAATGCAGCTCCTCCGGCAAGGATCAAGGTGCAATGCAGGGATCAAGGTGTAATGTGGCTCCAGAAGCAGTGGTAGGAGTGTAGACCAGTCCCACCAAAGAGTGTTCAAAGACCTAACTCCCATCTACCGCATCCGTTTTCGCAAACAAATAAGTGGTATTCTTCTTTCAACACAAACACCATCACTACCTGCATCATAACTGCCCTGGTACAATTGACCATGATTAACCAATACATGTAGTAAGGTTATATGGCTATGGTCTATGAAATCTGACCTCAATACTAAGTTAGCTCAGTACCAGCTGTGTGGCTCCTGTACAGCTAGTACTGAGCTGTGTGACTGGGAGCATGGTTCAGCCACGTGTCGTTAGATATCACCAAGTGAACTGTAGAGCAGAGCATTATCTATGACCTCAATCAGATCAACTGCTTGCACATACATGGCTTTGCACATGTACTGTACATGCAGACTAACAAGGAAACAAGGTACTTCCTCCGCCCAGGCAAAATTTTCGCTTATCTCCTTCAGCCCAATGACAGGTGTCTGACAGCAATTTTTGCATCTTGTGCACTTCACCATCACACAAATCTGCTCGTTCAGGCGTACCAGTTCCAAACAAGTCGGCGAAGTCGGCAAAGAGTAAATAAACATCTAGAGTAGAGCGCATTGAATGCGAGTGAACTGGTAAAAAAGACACGAAATCAGTCACTAGTCAAGGTGGGTGCTGCTAGAGTACCACTGCTGGCACTGGAGTACAGAGCAGAGGTGTCATGTTGCCAAAAGCTAGTGTGTTTGATTGCATCCTGCTCAAGGTGTGTGTACGGTAAAAATGCACGCGAGCTTGAAGCTGAGAAAGCCACTCAGCGACGCTCCCCCACATACTGCAAAATGAACCAGAATCGGCACTGGGCAAAACAGTTGGAAAAGAAAGGCTTCGATGACAGGGTTGTCACTCGCCCAGCTCATTCGCCTGATGTCAACGTGAACGGTCCAGCAAAGCGACGCTGACTGAGCTCGCCAGCTTCGGCTGGAAAGAAACACAACCGATCGTACTCGTGAAGGAGGTGAAGCGCTTGGGAAAAAAGTGTCGATAGAAAATATTTGCGCTTCTGGAAAGTGCGAAGTACTACCCGACAACAAGTGCTGCGTCGGCTGATGACAAAGGATGCCTTCTACATTTTTCGACTTGGAGAGTTTCTCTTGATGTTCAACGACTCCTCAGCTCATTCTGAGTCGTTATAAGCCGTTCTGAGAACCTGGAATGTATCAGTAAAAACTGTAAAGATAGGCGAAAATTTTGCTTGGGCGGAGGAAGTACATGTAACATCAAGTATTCCGGAAGTGGCTAGCCGCTCAGTTTTTTTAACACTTCATAGTAAGAAAGGGTTTGCTCCCCACACCGGAGCTCGCGCTATTCCGCCTAATTTACTTGACACTTGACTGACTCACGACTGCCATCCAGAGCACACGAGAAGTCCATCGAACCTTCGACAGCCTACTCAAGCTCAACTGATGAGGGGTGAGTTCCCCGAAACACTGTGTATTGAGCAGGGAGTGGCGCTTTCTTGCAGGTTTGCCGAGTCAAAGGTTCGATGGACTTCTCGTGTGCTCTGGATGGCAGTCGTGAGTCAGTCAAGTGTCAAGTAAAGTCGGCGGAATAGCGCGAGCTCCGGTGTGGGGAGCAAACCCTTTCTTACAAATCATTGCCGAAGTCGCAACCACTACTTCGTACTCCATAGTAGCAAGATACAGTCGACTCCACTTATAGCGAACTCGCACATAGCGAATTTCGCAATATAGTCAGCCATTGTCCATGTCCCTGTTTGAACCCATACAAGACTGAACCTTTATAGCGAACAGTTTTCGTTTATAACGAACCAAATCGTGTAGGGCCGCGTGTAAACCAAGTGCACTCGTACTATCATGGGCCACTTGCCAGTCATCACTTGCTGCTTGTATGGTGTGAGTGCATTTCTGTTATAATGAACTTCGGTTATAAAGAACGGATTCTGGTGCACAATGGTATTCGTTATATCCGTCAGGCGAAATTACTGGTCAGTCGGCGACACGCATTTTTCACAAAAATTTGCGTTTCACCTGCTGGGAGAGTATGCTTGTACTCGAGTCTCATCCTGAGCACGTTTTTTTTCTTCTTTTTTTCAGCTCCAGTATAGCTGTATTTTTCATTGCAAAGCCGTCCTCGATTGTTGTGTTCATTGTTCAAACGAAGCGGACATTCAATCATGAAGGCAGAGGACATAGGAGCCTGATTGGAGTTTCTCGTGGCATAGGACGGCCACACAGAGACACTTTGGGATTTTCTGAATATAAAATACCGTACGCACGATGCTGAGATCAATTTGTGCGATATCAAATTGTTTGTGATCTACCACATCGAGCAGAACGGGATCCAAACACAAGTTTACCGACGGTTAGGCTGCCGACCTGACTGGACAAATGATCCCTGGCTTCACCAGACGCCAGAAGTCGGACACCATGTCCTTTGCCGCGACGTCCATCTCCAAAAAGAACTCCATCTTCGTCGTGAAAAGGCTTGAAATACTCAATATTCAACCGAGATTCGCGGACTCGCGCTTTCTCGGATCGATTAATTTCCTGTTGGAACAGTTGCAGGGCAGCTTCCCGCCACTGTTTCAACAGGCGATGGCTCCAAAGCATGCCTGGAACAAGCCATATCGAGGTTGCAAGCCACCCCTCTCAGCAAAAAATTCGAAGAAATTCGAAATTTCAATGGTGGAAGATATACTATGAAGAGAATTTCAAAAAGTATGTTTCGCAGAGCGATCGCTCAACCTACGTCATTCAAACTTTGCAGGATGGTTCAGACGTACATGCTAGGCATGGAACCACAGGCGATGATGCCATAGCTGACACACAGAGTAACACACACAGCAGATTTGTGTGCACAGATACTAAATTAGTGGACGTCGTCATCTTCTTCCCGCTGATCTCGAATGTACTATGACGTGCTATTTCGCCTGACGAGGAGTCAAATGTAAGTAGTGGACTTACTCAGAGGTACTACTTCTTGTTTGACCTCCTTTGCCTTCTCACGTTCTATCTCGGCTTGGGGACGAACCAGGTCCTTGTCTTTGTAATCTGGATGGGTGACCGCAATGAAACAAGTACAGATTTGATCAGCTAACTTTTATTAAAGTCATGACAAGCACCACTATGGTCCAACTGGAGTTCCCGTTGCACCGTCATCAGAGAGTGAGCTTGATGTGAATTGTTCTTTAATAGTGTAACTAGACACAGCGATAATCTTGCCTATCGCACAGTGGACACATGCAATCGTATAACTATTGAATCTTGGGCACTATGATGAGAGCACTATAGAGCTGCACGCCGGGTTGAATGGCTCAGTGAGAGTAATCCTGCACAACACAATATACGCAGTACTCAGGGTAAACGAGGTGTCGAACTTCTCGTGCATACCTTCAAACATCTTCAGGAAATCTTGCCCTTTGCCACCAGGTAACTCATTTGCAAGTGAAACGCCAGTCTAAGCAAACAGAGGAGGACACCACAATACACACAGGATATCACTACACGTTTGCAGACCTCATACGCCACCAGAACCACTACTAGTTGTCCATGCCATGACTACTGCTAATGCCAAGTATCATTGCTACTGACTCACGCACTCCACAAGAACAGTGAAACCTGTCTAAGACGACCGCTCAAGGGACCTTCAAAACGTGGTCTCTCTTGCCAGGTGGTCTCTTCGTCCAGGGTCATTAGGCTGGAAAAAGCATTCCTTCGTCATGGTTTCAGTGGTCCTTTAGGAGAGGTGGTTGCCTTATCCGAGTGGTCGCATTGACAGATTTTACTGTACAATCTCAACAATGGGATAGAACATGGCTAGCAGGGGCACAGAAACATGGCTAGCAGGGGCACAGAAAGTCATTAGAAGCCGCTGCCTAGGAAGCTTCTTACAGCTAACCACTGCCTATGCTAGTGAAATCTATGTCTATCACTTGAAACATGCCACAACCCAAGACGGCGGTACAGGAATGAACAATGCCACACACACCACAGCCTATTACAATGACGTCAGTGAGCTACACATACAAACACTGCTAGAGATAAGCATGCCTGGCGGACTGAGAAATATGCCCTGTGCACCACTGCCGGTCCTCAGAAAACAACTGAGCACACTAACCTCTTGTTGGCGGTTGGCAATCTTGGAGTCCGCTCCAAACGACACAAGCAGCTCCGCAATCTTGAATCTGGGAGTACATGGACAGTTAGAGATTAGCGTACGGCAAAGGATGTTGTTGCAAAGACAGTGGAGAGGAGTTACACATGGCACTCACAATGTCAAGCTCAACAAAACAGGATGTCTCTGACGCCATCCCGTCAGGTCAGAATTGATGTTCGGGTACTGCTAACCCAGAAACCGTTGCGATCCTGAAACATTCGCGGTTTTCGCGATTGGTGTGAAATGGCGAAAGTAAGTGACGCGAAACTGTAGACTTGAGTCAATCATCAAATCATTTAGTTGACTCCAATCGCAAACACTTGCAGGCGCAGACGGTCTGTCATCGCAAATTGTGAACAAAAACGGGTGAAAACAATTCTGGGTTTACAGTACTTCTTTCCTGTTTTACACCATGCTTCTTGCTCCTGTGCCTTCTATTCTGGAAATACAGGCCAGAGGGGGGGGGGGGGGGGGACTTTCATGAGACTCCCACTGAGTCCCAAATTGAAGGCCCAAGGTGCAAATTAACAATTTGTAATTTTCAGTACCGAAGTAGTTCTAGAATCAAAAAAGGTAAACTGGTGAAGAGAGCATCTGTGCAATATATACAGTCATGTGCGAGGCAGCAGCCACCCACAGTGATGTAGGAACCAAAAAGGTGCTTACCGATGGAACCTGACAGCCTCCTGAAGTGGCCGCATGCCGGTCGCATCATCCATGCCATTAGGATCGACGCAGTTGTCGAGCAAGACTCGGCAAATTTCCAAACGACCTGCACGCGGGGGAAAACGGAAGACGTGGCGCCGGCTAAACCAATGTGCAACATGCAACATGTACTGCATCCTACTACTGATCATGGCCATTAAGAACACATAGCTAACTGGAAGATCTACAATAGTTGAAGTTGCCAAAGAGAATGGTTCCGCTCATCCTCTACAGTGAGGCTTCAGTAGAAGTTACTCCGGATATAACATACTTGCCTCTTTGTATTGGATACAAAGTACTTCTTTGACGAGCCCAGGTATCCTTTTCCAGTTATTTCACCTTGCATGTAAGTACTTTGACTATATAGTACGTATCTTCATGTCCCTAAGTTGCACGTACATTATACTGAACTTTCACTCTACACATGTACCCTCATTGCTGCCAGGAACCAAGGAGGGGCCATTATCGAATCTACCGATACACAACCACACACGGAACACACCAAGAGTAATAGTGCATATCAGCAGTGCTCATTACTTGACACGGACAGAGTTCTGAGATGACCTTCCAGCTCAGCAGGCACACGGAATGCATGCGTAGCTCACCTGTGCGGGATGCCTCGATCAACGGCCGTACGTCTTTACTGAGCTCCGGCACTGCGTCAACCAGCAACTGCACGGCCTCTGCTTGGCAATGGGACAGTGGGACAGTGCACACAAGATACAATTCTACAATCACATAATTGTTACCAGTACCCTCAACACTATCAACACCGTTACCTCTTGCACAATTTGCTTTCAAGAACTGCCCTCGCATTGCAGCATTGTTCGCCAAAAGGCTAGCACTCCGGCTCACTTCTACGACTTGGTAAGAAGGATGTTCAAACGTACAACAATGCAGTCTCTTCAAACGTACAACAATGCTGTCTCTTCTAATTTACAACAATGCTGTCTCTTCAAACTTACAACAATGCTGTCTCTTCTGATGGATATAGTAATTTGTGTGACTTCAAAGGCAAAAATGCAATCAGACTAAAGAACAAGAAAAACACAAACTTTAATTGCCTTCTTGTCAGATGGATGAAGGCAGAAAAAACCAAAAAGCAGTACAATACATACTACACAAAGTGAGGGGGGTAAAAGCAGCAGGAAGAGCAATGGTGAGGATATGACACTACAAGCTGTGCAAACGGAAACAGAGCACATTCACCCTTAGTCTGGTAGGTAGGACATGGCACGTTGTTAGCTCTGTCCATGGATTCATCTGCGGTCTATTGTTATCACAATACAGTCATATCACACCCATAGTATCACGCTGACCTCTTCACATTTACACCACCGGTGCATGGTTATAGGAGGTTCTGTGTCGATACGCTTTCATCAGAATCAACACTTTCCTCAACATAGGTTCGATTAGGTAAACAGTTTCCTCTGAGACAAAAATGCGATAATACTCATAAAAAGGACACACTTCAGGCTCATTACAAACATCTTGAAAGTTTTTGTCTTCACAACTATACTTTCAAGCCTTCTCGTCAGGTGAAATACAGGCAAGGGAAAAGGAACAGGAACAGTGGATTAAATACAGTAAGAAGGTGGTAAAACAGCGCAAAAAAGAAGATAGCTAAAGTAAACAGCGAAAATTGCAATAATGACACAAAGGTGCAAATGCGAGAAAACTCAATAAGCGTGACATGTAGTGCGACAACAAGAGACAACCACTGGACATACATGTAACTAACGAGGTTTTGACAACCTACCTAACAGCCTAAGTGTGAATTTGATTTGTTTCTGTTTGCAAAGGTTGGGTTTCCTTGTGTGGATGTATACGGCGTCCAAAACATTCAGCAATCTAGCACTGCGTACACGTGACACAATCGAAAAACAATCATCTGAATACACAGCACGACAATCAGGATGCTCAAACAAATGACTAGCAATGGACGACTCATACTTATCAGAACTAACATCAGAACAATCAGCATGTGCGGTGGACACATCCGATATCACATGGCTAGTCGAGTGGACCCTAGCCGTTGCCTCTGTCTGTGCTTTAGTCGCTGCCATCGCCGTCGTTGCCGATCTTGTCATTCTTCTGGTTGATGCGGTTCCTGTCACTGCCACGCCAGTAGGTGTCTTGTCTGGTTGTTTTTCTGGTGGTCTAGTTAATTGTGAGGTGACGTTGCTTGGTGTTGATGCCGCTGCGTTAGACCATCTTGTACCAGGATGATTCTTTGCTGGACGTCCCCTCCGTGGTCGAGTGGATCGTGCGTGTTGTGGAATAAGGTGTAGCGATGCGTGTTGTCGGATGCGTGCGTCCAGATGTTGAAGAGTCCTACCGACATATCGGCTCTCACATTGCCGACACTCGAAGTGATAAATCAACTTGGATAATTGGCCTGTAGGTAGGACGTCCTTCCTCACCGTGAACGCACACACCGTGGAGTAGATGAAGCGAATATGAACATTATGGTAATTGGACTCCACGGCAGACTTAATCCGACGCTGAACCATACGTGATACTGACTCTCCCTTCCACGGTAAACATAGGTATACTGGATTAGTGTTTGAGCATCCTGTTTGTCGTGCTGTGTATTCAGATGATTGTTTTTCGATTGTGTCACGTGTACGCAGTGCTAGATTGCTGAATGTTTTGGAAGCCGTATACATCCACACAAAGAAACCCAACATTTGCAAGCAGAAACAAATCAAATTCACACTTAGGCTGTTAGGTAGGTTGTCAAAACCTCGTTAGTTACATGTATGTCCAGTGGTTGTCTCTTGTGGTCGCACTACATGTCACGCTTATTGAGTTTTCTCGCATTTGCACCTTTGTGTCATTATTGCAATTTTCGCTGTTTACTTTAGCTATCTTCTTTTTTGCGCTGTTTTACCACCTTCTTACTGTATTTAATCCACTGTTCCTGTTCCTTTTCCCTTGCCTGTATTTCACCTGACGAGAAGGCTTGAAAGTATACTTGTGAAGACAAAAACTTTCAAGATGTTTGTAATGAGCCTGAGGTGTGTCCTTTTTATGAGTATTATAGGTTCGATTCTTGCCATTTTTCTTACTGCTGGTGCTATCACTGCTATCACGCCGGCATGCACACAGAACACACCAACATGGCTTAGTTTGCACAAACCTTTCTTGTCCAGCCTGGCAGCCAGCAACAATGGCGTGTCACCCTGATTGTTTTTCAGCTGACCGTTCGCACCCGACTGTGAACACATGCCAAACGACAGCAAAAGGAACCATGGTAAACAGTTTAGCCCGGTGCAGATTGCTGGGTGGAATTTCGCACAAACTCATCAAATTCTGGCCTTATTGTAGTGCAAGCAGAGTAAGCATACATCTAGCAAAGCCAACACTGGGTCTAAGATGGCTAAACTAGGAAAACTTAGGGACTGCAGAGAAGAGTGCAGTGAACAGTGAATCGTCTTTTACCTGCAACAGCTTGACAAGCACGTATGGCTTTCCCTGCTGGAAGTGCTGGACGGCAAAATGGATTGGCCGGTTTCCCTCCATGTTGGCTTCATCAACCTTTTACACACAGACAAGTGATGATAAATTGAGAGCACACGCTGTGAGTTTTCAGTACAAAAGTGAAACCAACCCCACGTGCACATGTATATGACCAAGAGTACATAAACCAGAGTGTGCAACTCGGGATGGTTCCTGTGGGAGCGTAATTCGTGCAGTACGTCATTTCTGACGGCATGGTAAGCCACAGGTACGGTGAAAAGTTGCGTAACCAGTCACAGTGGTGCAGGTCACTGAGTTTGTCCTGATTTCGGTTTTTGAGACGGATAGCATGGTGAATTTACTTGCCAGCGCATGTACACAGCGTATGCAGTCACACAAAAACACCGAAATCTTAAAACAGGACGTCTACATCATGCAAACTTGGCTGATTTCCGGACTGTGAAACATGAATATTTGAGCTGTACGCAAGTCGCAGCTTGGCTGACCTCATCAGGGTGATGTAGTGCACGAACTGCGCTGTTTCAGATCTGATATGCACAGTTGCACACTCTGGTTTATGTACTCTTGATATGACTGCTTGAGAGATGATGCAATGATGACATCACTGCATAAGCTATGTATGGAGTGACAAACACACAGGGTGCGTATGATGCCACTCCATACAACACGCGTCAGATACCGACGTAATCACACAGCCCCGTTATATAAGACCACAAAACGATAGTTAAATGCGGAGATTTCGCAGCGGCGAATACACTATATTCAATCCTTGTCAGGCATTGCAACCGGCATTGATGCGGTTCTAGGATAGTGTTGACAACCATGGTGATTGCAGTCAGCCGTGATTGCTAGTATCAAATCAGCAAGCACTCTGATCAAGTACCACTCACCGGTGCTCCAGCCTTGATCAGCACCTCCACTAGCTCCAGGCGATAATGAAAGGCAGCGAAATGCATGGCTGTGTTCCTGGGACACGAAAGCAAAATGGGAATTTTAGCCGCCAGCCTCGCAACCGCTATCAACCATCCAGTGCTACCAGGGAATTAGCAATACAACCCATGCCAAGTAGCATGCCCTTGCAAATATAAGATGACACACAGCACCACATCACATCAACACGCCCACGGACTAATACTTACTTCATAAGAAGAAAAGAGGACCAAAGAGCTGAAGTTATGCTATAATATTCACTCACACCACCAGTCACTTTACAATCAGCTCATGCAATAACATTGCACGACACTGACCAACGGTACTGATGTTCTACACCTAACTGGCGACTTACTTCACTCCTGAATATTCCAGTAGCAAAAGGGGCAAGGATTAGAGATGAAATTAGAGTATGCATGAAACGTTCAAAAGACGCAAAAGGCAAATGTAAGAACGGCAGGTGAGTAGAGTCTATCAATGTCTTAGTGAAACCATTCAAAAGAAAAATCCTCGCAACGTCACACAACCTCTTACACATTTGCAGAACGTGGTCTGCTAGCATGTAGCCATAGGTGGACACCACATCAGAAATAGTCATCCATCGGCCAACTTACCCTTGACTGTCCCGGGCATTGATATCACACGAGTGCATGATGAAGTAAGCTGCCAGATCCCGGTGACCTGCATGCCAGTGAAAGCAAGGGAAATTCAAACAATTCCAGACACGGCAGCGGCGAGGCAATACAATCATGTACATGTGACCGTGGCTGGGGAAGCGGGCATGGAAACCATGGAAACCATGTAGCATTGTGTACACAGGCCACTGTCAGGAATAGAAACACACATAGCAGTGCTTCTGGGAAAATGGGAAGATGAAGCCAAAGTGCTCAGTGCGGATTTATTCACCTACCTTTTTCACTGCATGATAAAAGTCATCACTATCCCCTCGCTTGGCTACTTTTCAATGTTCACATATTTTGCACTTTTCATCTCGTTCTCATTATTCCCGTTTTTCTTCGCCTTTCTTGCCTGAGATATCAACCATCTCCCAATTCATTATGCATTCTCGATATCAGAGGGGGGTCTCCTTGCACACTCTACTGTAACGCTCTGCACAAGAACTCACCGTTTAACACAGCCAGTGTCAGTGGGGTATTGCCCGCAGAATCGCAACAGTCCACATTGATGTGAGCCACGGAAACCTTCATGCGGAAGTCCTTGATGTCCGCTCTCTCCAGCTGCAGGATGGCGGCACTGTTCTTCCTCTGCTTGGGATAGAGAAGTCTCTGCAACATGCACATACAATGGACATACCCGAAGGCCGTAGACTAGGTTCAAGAGTTGCTTCTAGATTTGGACAAGTTGTAACCAGAAATGATTCTCTGACCTAATCTGAATCTTGCTACTGGCATTCCCTTTTGGTATAATGTTGATTCGACCGGTCTGGACCGTGGTGTGTGGAGTGTAAGATTCATACAACAACGGATAAAAACCTAGGATAGTGCGTCTCAGGCCACCTGTATAGCATTGCCCTCACGAACCCCAGGGACGTGCCTGTCAGGGTCGATTTTTCTACATGAGTGGCTGGGACAAGCTAAGGGGTCGTCGCAAAAGTTTTCTGTCGTCCCTGAAACGAACATCGTTCATTTCGTACTCAGACCCCCTCCCCTCCCTCTGAAACGAACACAGCTTGCTATGCTGGACGACGAAAATCGCATGCATGTACATGTCATTATGTACAGTGTCGGTCGACTTGCGATTTTGGCTCGCACCCCCTCCCCCCCCCCCCCAAAATGAATCATGTTCGTTTCAGGGACAACAAAAAACTTTTGCGACGACCCCTTAACCATACGGCCTTTGCTGCAAAAAAAGGTCCGAATTGCACTTCGTATCACATGTCGCATTGAAAGTTGAGCCAAGCTCAGTTTCTGTGATCAGCCAGTTGCGACGGTGGTGTGAGCTGCGCGATTGGTGCAATCTGGGGATTTCCCGGTTTCGTGCCGGTTGCATCTCGTCGCAAAAATGCTTCTGTGAATACCGTTTTAGTCATTTACTTCGAGAAATTATTGTCCAATCTGTTGTCAGTGCTAGTGTCCTCCATGATAGTGGAGTAAATATTTTTTTCTCTTTCAAGAAATTTCAACTATCAATGAGCAAAGCCTAGGCAGCAAACGACTCGATTCATACGTAAACGTAGAAGGACGACTATGATTTTTAATTTTGCTGGCATTTACGAGTATAAACATTATTAATTTTACTAGTTATTAAAATAGACGACATGGAGGCAACAATTTCAAACATGGCAATAAATAGGATAAATTCCGCCGTCATCACTACACACGTACACATCAACGAAGTCATGAAGGTTTTCCAAAATCGATTTTCACGCTACACTCACCAGCGGAATATCGTCGGACATACACCATTTTCCCGACAGCGCTTCAAGAAAACAATATTGAACGATATGCTTCTAGCTATGTAGTGCATGCGCAGAACATTATTCCGGATGTCGACCTGATTCCTAGAGTATCTCCGTTTAAAATACTTGTAGATAAATAGACGACGTGGAAAATTCAACTCGGATGGTGAGCCAATTAAATTATGGTGAAAAAGGAAGGACAAAATGTTACGAGTTATGACTAATTGTCCACCAACGTAACCAGATCGTATACAGTCAGCGAGTGCGACAAAATGGCACAACACTGACAAGGCTGTCCCTGCGGGAATTTGCGGAAAAAACTCTCGAAAACTTGCGCAAGAAATTGCGGCAGAAAGTAACAAAAAATGCGACGAAAAGCGCGGAATGATGCAGAACTTGCCAGGAATTCGCGGAATTATTTGCAGAATATTGCGGATTTGGGCCAAATCACGAAATTTGTTGCATCGTATATCTACTCGGGAGTCGTACTGTGCAAATAACCTACAGGATCATGGAAAGAACTGCGTGAAAAGTTCAGAAAAATGTGAGATATAGTGCAGAAAACAACAAAAAACGCGGGAAATCGTGGATTTTGCTGAAAATCGCGGGTTTGGGCCAAAATCGCGAAATTTGTTGCATCCGTGGAATCGCAATTTCCTGGAGGGAGAGACAAGGAGTACCGAGACATTCGGCGACCTGACACCTAGCTCCAACACTTCTCCAGGGCAATAGACGACGTGGAGACAATAGTTTCAAAATAGCAATAAAGAGGATAAATTCCACCATCGTCACTACACATCAACGAAGTCATTTTGGAAAACCTTCATGACTTCGTTGATATGGATGGAATTTATCCTATTTTAATATGGCCATTTTGTAGTACCGGTACCTGTAAGTTGTGGCCAAAGAAATACAACCCACGTGCCGAAAGCAGCGCCAAGGCTCATGCGGCCGCTGCGGCCCTCGGATCGGCTTTGAAAACATGCATGACGTCATTGAACTGGACATGCGGCGCTGCTTTTGACTCGCGGGTCGGATTTCGTTTGGCCACGACTGCCACGACTGCCACGACTGCCACGACTGCTACGACTGTACTTCGAAACCGCCGCAGCCAGGGTATTTTAAATCCCAAAGCACACAAAAATAAAACGGTTTTCAAGAGCAACAGAAGCACGTCCTGGAGCCTCGGATAATTATGCTGCAGACTCAGAGACACTTTGCGCATTGTCCTAACCGCTATAATCTACATGTTCTTCGCAATCTAAGTAACACAACAGTTGAATTGGTTACAATCATCTCGTGTTTTAGCGAGCTGTCTCAGTATTGGAGGAGACGCGTCGAGAGCGGCGGACAAGTGCCCAGCACCTAAACTAAAATCTATTTCTACACAAACAACAAATTTCTGCAAAAGTAGACATGAGGACCGTGAAAGAGCAAGAGCAAACAAGCAAATAATTATTGCTCCATGATTGTGTTTATAAAACCACAAAATATCAACAGTAGGCAGATCACATTTCTGTATACAGGTACTGTTGTTTCAACGACTCTAGGCTAACTTCTCGCAACGGTGTTTACCCATTGATATGGTATCAACATTACCTCAGCCCTCTCTTTGTCGCCTTTGGAGGCCGCTTCAAGGAGTTGCTTCTCTTCCTTCTTCCCCATCGTTGCCAGTTGCAATTTCCCCTAACAACGATCCAGGACTAACCAGAAATGATGGAGTATGACAATGAATCGTTGTCGCTAGTGACTGCGTTTGCAAGCGATAAAATAGGAATTATTAATATTATTGCTAAGTAGTCAGAGTAGATTATCGAGTACAATCATTGTACAGTCATGTACTGACGTAGGTCTGCAAGTACAAGACAGCCGCGACACGACCGGAACGCAGTGACACACAATCCGAACCAGCCACGCGCAGTGTCAACTAGGTATGCCTCTGGTCACTCGCGTCTAGTCTGTGTCAGTGTGTGCTCTCTGCCCCACGCACAAGTCACCATGCATGGTCACAACACATACACACAAGGCTACAAAAGACTCAGAAGTCATGTAGATTACAATCATGTAGATCTACATGACTGTGTAGGCTTGACAATGACAAGCTCTCTACTCGATCTAGTCTAGCGCTGCGCCCGCCGCGCGCGGCCGGGAGGGACCTAGCACGCGCGCGGTCGCCTTGGTGACGGAGATGCAGTAAAACTTCTATAAATACCGGACACAACAGATAAGGTTGTGGAGTCGCTGCAAGAAACGAATCTCAATATCTACTCCAAGTCTAACTTGTTTCGTGCTCCGGGCGTCAGTCGTATGGGTTGATGCCACTTTCTTTTCCTTTCCATCGATTCAACTTCAAGCAAACAGAAAGTTAGTTGGTGCACAAGCCATTGCCATTGGTTAGAAACTCTCATTGCAATCTACGCTGGTCTCTTCTACTATTCTTGCAATCACATCCCCCCCCCCCCCCTTAGTGCCGATCACCATCTTTCACTTTCTTCACCTGACACCTGACCCCACACACCACCAAACCTGACCTATGATATCTTGCACACCTTGCCAACAATGCCACTTCTAACTAATTACTTGTCTTCCTTTGACCTTTGACGCCCAAGGCCAGAGCTGGCAGAGGCGATGATAGCGATGCTACGACAGAAGCCATACCAGTTACCACGCACACCAACACCTATTGCTGATCTACACTCCCACCTAGTAGACGTCCTCCCTGGCCCTCTCCCTCACCTGTATCGATCAGCAATACTTGCCTTGCACCACTCCTCCACCACCAACTAAGAAATTATTATTTCCCACCTTCACCTTCTAATCTCATGGCTAGTGACACCAAGAATACATAACCATGATAACTGGTAGTATGTATTCTTGGTGACCTGGTGAGTGGTGACACTCATCACTATTAACAGGCCCCAAGTCGAACCCCAGAAACTACCGACCGATCACTACTGCCCATAATGTCTAAGTGTATGGAGTCCATCGTGAACCGCAGCCTGTCCAACTTCCTGAAGAAGAATGACATCCTTTCTCACAGGCAGTTTGGCTTTCGCACTGGACTGGGAACCTCTGATCTGCTGATTGCTCTTCAGCATGAGTGGAGCCTTGCAGCTGCCAGTGGAGGCCTCGTCAGGTACTCGCAGTAGATATTGCCGGGGCCTTCGACAAGGTCTCGCACAACGGCGTCCTCCACAAGGCTGAGCGGTGCGGCATAAGTGGCCTCCTCCTTGCCTGGCTCCGGAGTTACCTGACAGACCGCCACATCCGTGTCGTCATAGGTGGCCAGTCTTCACCGACCCACCGAATCCAATCTGGCGTGCCACAGGGCAGCATCCTCGGCCCCACCCTCTTCCTTCTGTACGTCAACGACGCAGAAGACCACCTGCCTGATGGGGCGAAGCTGGCTGTATACGCCGACGACACAACTCTCTACAAGTGCATCACCACCCGACTCAGACTGCCAGAAGAGACAGCAATCCTCCAGCAGGCAGTAGACTCACTGGCAGCATGTGGAAGCAGGTGGAGGATCAAGTTCGAGCCCACAAAGTCGCAGGCATTGACCATCAGCCACCACCGCTCGCCAACCCCCCCCCCCGAACGCAATACGCTTCCAAGGAGCAGTCGTGCCAGAAGTAGAGGAGCTCAAGCTTCTTGGCGTCACCTTCGACAGGCAGCTGGCATTCCGCAGCCATATCCGACAGCTTGCAGTACGCGGAGCCCAGCGGCTCGGCTTCCTCCGTAAGGCATCGGCTGTGCTAGACCCAAAGCACCGGGCAATCGTGTACCGTGGCTTTGTCCGCCCTGTGCTAGAGTATGGCATGCTGGTGTGGATGAGCGCAGCCCCCACCACCTTGGCCCGCCTCACTGCCATCCAGCGCCGTGCCCTGCACATAATTGGAGATGGCTCATACCTCCCGAGCCTCGACATTCGCCGTACCGTAGCAGGGCTCTGCTTTCTGTACAAGCTGCACTTTGTGGAGGGTCCGGAAATGGTGAAAGCCATTCTGCCACCATCAGCAGCCGCACCACAATGCCGCATGTCTACTCGTGAGACAACCAGATCTGCAACACATCATCCATCGCAACTCACCAGTATTCTTCCTCCTCAGGCACGAAACAACACGCTCCGCTCATTTCCCCACTCCCTCATCGCAACGTGGAATCAGCTCCCACCTATCCTTCTGCAGTCTCCCCCTTCTCGCAGAGGTATGCACACGTTCAAGAAAAACGTCAACGACCACTTGCGGCGCAGCAAGTGGGAGTGGGCCACAGACAGGCTACATGTATGATCTCTGCCAACACACCAGCCTAATTATACTGACCGCACTCCAGCTCCCTTCTACCCCTCTTTGATCCCCTTCGCTCAGCCTTAAAATCCGATTATCAGTTCACTCCATCTTCCTACGGTGCACTGCTCTTACTATTGTTTTGTCCTATCCCAATCTCAAATTCTCCCCATTATCGTTTGCAAAGCCGGTGCTCCCCTCTTGGATGCACATGTTTCTTTTCTCCTATGTATCGGCGCACAGGAGTAACGATGATTCCGAGACCTTTGGTCGGAGGAGTTACTTTTGCCCCGCCCCCACTTCCATCCAATATGCCACCGCCCCCGCTGTGCAGCATCTGATGGTACTGTGGTATTCAGTAAAAAAAAAAAAAAAAAAAAAATGGAACTCCATGCCACCACCCACAGCCCTCCGATGTTATTTTAGAAGTTACAGTGGTCCCTCTATAATCCGGCACCATTTGTGCCACGAAAATCTGCTGGATTAGGGAGGGTTCTGGATTAACAAATCTGATTTACTGCTGCAATGTACATGAAGGGGACATTTTGGCTACTGAAAATTGTGCTGGTTTATCGAGGGTGCTGGATTATAAAGTGCCGGATTAGAGAGGGACGACTGTATTAGAACGACGAAACCGGACTGGAAAAATGTCTTGGTCTAAGAACAGAAAAGATTTGATCCAGGTCAGACCCACCACAAAGACGA